GTTGCTGTTATATGCCGTGGAGTCAGTTCTGACTCATAGTGACCTTGCACAGGGTTTCCAAGGCTGTAAATCTTGACAGGAGCAGAAAGCCTCATCTTTCTCCCACGCAACAGCTGATAGTTTTGAACTGCCGACCTTGAGGTTAGCAGCCTGATTCGTAACCACTATGCTACCAGAGATCCTTAAGCTTTTAGTACAAGGCACATTAAAACTTTCCCAGCCTCCACCCATTACCCAAGTTCAAAATCATTTCCACATTTAAAATATTTATGAGAGCAGCACCCCACTCTCAGTATCAAGTGTATTAGATTTATTTCAAGAGAATGACTCATTCAGTTGTGGAAGCTGGCAAGTCCCAAATCCATGGGTTAGGCATCAAATTGGAGGTTTTTCCTAATCCGTGTAGTTGTTGTTAAGTACTGTTGAGTTGGTTTCAATACATAGTGACCCTATATAGGGTTTCTGAGAAGTGGATGGAGAGCTGGAACTGCTGACTGTGTGGCTCAAACTGACTTTGCAGTCCAGCGCATTAACCCACAGTGCCACAGGTTGTAGTGGCTGACAAAATTAAAAATGGCAGATCAAGCAGAAGGCTGCAAATTTACACTCTTGTGGGAGCTGAATCCCCAAATCTGCACATCAGTCATCAGTCTGCTGGCTCATATCCCAAAAATCAGAGGTTAGAGGGTGACAAATGAGAAGCAGGGTCAAAAGAGAGCTTGTTTTGCCAGAACATCCACATATATTGAATGCAGGCCACATTCTCAAGGTTGTTGTTGTTAGGTGCCATCGAGTCAGTATTGACCCATAGCAACCTTATGCACAGTGCCCAATCCTGGGCCACCCTCACTACTGTTGCCACACTTGAGTCCATCGATGCTGCCACTTGGCCAATCCATCTTGTTGGGGGTCTTCCTCTTTTCCTCTGACCCTCCACCTTACCAAACATGATATCCTTCTCCAGCGACTGGTCCCTCCTGACAACATGTCCAAAGTATGAGAGACGAAGTTTGGCCATCCTGGCCTCCAAGGAGCACTGTGGCTGCACTTCTTCCAAAACGGAAGTTTTGTGCCCATGGCACTTTCAATATTCTCTCCTCCAACACCATAATTCAAAAGTATCAATTCTTCCGTGGTCTTCCTTATTCACTGTCCAGCTTTCGCATGCATATGAGGTTATTGAAAATACCATGGCTTGGGTCAGGCGCACCTTAGTCCTCAAGCTGACATCTTTGCTCTTCAATGCTTTAAAAAGGTCTTGTGCAGCAAATTTGCCTAACTTTGGGTAGTGTTGACATTTTCACAATGTTATGTCTTCATATCCATGAGCATGGTATATTCCTCCATTTCTGCACATCTTTTTTGGTTTCTTATAGTAGTGTTTTGTATTTTTCTTTGTCTAGGTCTTTCGTTTCTCTGGTCAGTTTTATTCTTAGGTTTGACTGGCATGGCGGGTCTATAGGTTCTGTATGTCTGGAGCAGATCACACTCGAATCCAGATACCAGGGCAGCACAGCTAGCACCTGCCTCACACTGGCATGGCTCCCTTTCAGATGATTCACATCAGATTACATTATGGAGGATGGTTACAAAATGTCTGCCAAATTACATAGATACAGCCTACCCAAGTTAAGAAATTGTAACCATGACACCTGCACTGTGAAGGATTATAGCTCCCCAATATTGTGGGAGTCCTGGTGTGGCTAATGTGCTGGTCAGCAAGGTCACTTTGAACTGTAAGGTTGGCGGTTCAAGCTCACCAGCCACTCCTCAGAAAGCCTATACAGAGTTGCTATGAGTTGGAACTGACTTGATGGCACTTACCAACAATATTGGATAGAGTTGTTAAGTTCCATCAAGTCGATTCTAACTTGTAGCAACCTGTATAGGGTTTCCAAGGAGCAGTTTGAACTGTAGAACTTGGGGTTCCCAGTCAGTGCTGCCCATATTATGTCCTTTCAACTCTAGGCTTTGAAATTTTTTTGTTTAGCACGTTTTATCGTGCTTTGGAAGAACATTTACATTAGTTTTCCTATCAGTAATGCATAATTTGTTTATACATAAACTGTTCCATGAAATTGACTAGGATCCCCACAAGATCATTATCACTCTCCCATTTCTTCTCTGGGTTCACCATTTCCATTCATCCAGTCTCCCTGTCCACTCCTGCATTCTCATCTTTGGTTTTGGGCAAATCCTGCCCTTTTGGTTTCATATTAATTTAAGGAGCACATTTTCCACATGGTTTATTGTTTATTTTATAGGCTTGACTATTATTTGGCTGGTGCTATCCGACAGTGTTTCACTACTATTGATATGGTTTTCAGTGACTAAACATTTGAACGTAGTCTGCCTCTCCTTATTCAGAGTCTGTTAAGACAGACTCAGGTCTGGAAGCTCAGCTAAAACCTGTTCATCGTGGGTGACCCTGTTGACATTCAAAATACCAGTGACATAGCTTCTAGCATCACAGCAACAAGCAAGCCTCTACAGTGTGACAAACTGACGGACAAGTGATGATGGCAAAGACTGTGGAGTATTTTGTTCTGTTGTTGTATTATGGATCGGAACCAACTCTACAGCACCTAACAACATTATTTAGCTGAGAGGTGGCCTCTGGGAATATTTTCAGTTTCAAAATTTTTTGGATTTTTCTCCAGTCTCTTTCAGACAGGTACATTTGGTCCCTTTTAATTTTTTTTTCAATTTTAATTTTGTTCTACATTTTTACCCATTCTAACTGGGAGCTTCTATTTGGGTCCTTCCTGGTCAGTGTGGGTCCTAGTGGAAGATGGGACCATCTTGTTCTTCTGGTCTCAGGTTAGAGGATGCTGTGGTTCATGTTGGCTTCATTAAACTTTGTCATTTAAAAATAAAATTTTAACGGTTCTGCTTATTCTTTCCTCTCAAACCTCTAAACATTGTATTGCTTTTTGAGGTTTCTAGTTTTATACCTCCCACTGAGTGCCCAGAATCTTTTAAAATAATAGACATAGATAAGGGTGGTCCAGGTATTGTAGATAGATCGCATTGAAATAGAAATCCAGTTTTAAAAGGGGGTGGACTTTGTTAATGGAATTGGCTCTTCTGTTAAATAAGGAATTTTGAATGAAATGGTCTGTTGGCAGATAAAAATAAACGTGCAGAGTCTCCCAGAAGCTGAACCATAGGCTTTATAAAGCAAGGAAAAAGCCAGGTATTCCACTTCCCCTGGCTCACTGGGATCAAAGTCTTTTTCATTTTTTAGTTTAGTTTTTTTTTTCCTAGCGAAAATTTGGAATCCAGGCAGGCTTGCTCCCCTAAGGGGGGACCCAGAGGCACCGCGGCCTGTCCCCTCCTCAGTCCCTGGAGATGTGTGTCGGGAGAAAACTCTAGTCCAACGTCGAAATCCGTTACCATGCTGCTGTGTCCTCCAGGGCCATTTCTTAGGCGGAAGAACACATGAAGACGGGGAAAACCGCTGTGTTGATTCTCGGGCCTTGTGGGCTGGGCACGCAGCGGGTCAGGTTACAGACAGGTGAGGCAGGCGGATCAGCAAGCAGCGGACGCCAGCTAGCCCCCGGCCGGACGCATGCCGCAACCCCCTGCGGCTAAATACATCTGATCATCCACCTCCCACCCCACCCCACCCCACCCCACCCCACCCCTCTGGAAGGGGGTGCGCACTGCCGCCGGGGAGGCGGCGCTGGGCGTGCCTGGGCGTACCCAGGCTTGGGCGGTGTGCAGGGGTTCTGGGAAGGGCAATGCGTCCCCCAAGGTGGGCATTGCTGCTCCCAAAAAACTTTCTTACTAACTCACCTTCCTTCCCTCCCTTCTACCTCCCTGTACAAGGGTCGATAGGAACAAACAAAAACAAATGCAAAACTGTCCTACCACCTCCCTGGTAGGGGCGGTGAGGAAAAGTAGCCAACCTTCACTTTACCGACTTTTACTAAAAGGTTATTTACCGGTATCAGAATTTGGGGAGCGGGTGGTGAGGGGAAACAAGAAAGAAATACCGTGGACTAGGGAGGGAAGCTGCATTTGTGTAGCACGGGCTTGACTTTTGTTTCCATTGTGTGTTTATTTGAGGTGAAGGGTAGCACGGGCTCGGTTTTTTTTCTTCTCCCCCCCATTGTGTGTTTATTTGAGGTAAAGGGGTTCTTGAGGTGCTACATCTTGTGGTGAAAGCTGCTTTGATGGAGCAAACCGACTACTTTAGATTGTATGGCACAAATTAGTAAAATAAAATATTTTAGAGATGCAGAATTTAAAAGTATATACAGTGTTTGAGGGGCTGTTGCACATGATGGGGGCTTATGTTACTAGGTCTCCCTTCCATCAGAGACTCCAGGGGGCGTTGCCCCGCGGATTCAATTCCTCTTCTGCCCGCCGAGATTTCGGAAGCCCAGGAATACTCCCAATTTCCAGAACTGAGCCATTTTCTGCAGAGCTTGTTATAACCAAATCCATGCCGGGGACCCCAACTGGTATGGGTAAGGGACTGGTTGGAGCATTGGGAAGTTGTTCTGGGGTTTGCCAGCAGAAGTTTACCTTGATGTAGAAGTGATGGGGAAGGACATTTAAAATGTCCTTCCTTTCTTAAAAAGGGGAGGGGGAGAATCAGACGTTAAATTCTTTTGCAAACATTCATGCCTAAGGAAGGGCTGGAACAGGCAGCACGGCCGCCGGAACCGGTCGAACAGGTAGCGATCTTGTTGACACCGTTATTTGGCACGGCGCATGCTCACTCCCAAGTTTCCTGGTGCCTTTTCTATTCCACTTTATGAAACTTTTTTTCCGGCGTGGTCTCTCCAGCGATTTAAGGTATAGGTGGCGCGGAGCTGAAAGGTTCGGAGTCTCAGCGAACGCGCCACACCGACCGAGGGGTGGAGGGAGAGGACCAGCGAGACAGGAAGGTGGGCTCCGGCGCCGGTAGCTGGGGACCGTGCCTTTGCCACTGAGGCCGCCCCTAGCGGAACAGAAGAACGAAAGGGTCGCCACCGAAGTAGGGGCCCACCATGCCCAAAGTCTTCCTGGTAAAGAGGAGGAGCCATGGGGTCTCGGTCCGAAGCTGGAATGAGCTCCCGGATGAGGAAAGGGCAGACACCTACATCCCAGGTGAGCGCTGCGAGGTAGCCGGGTCGAGGGAGCCGGGTCGGGGCGCGGGGCTTCTGGGGTGGGGGAAGGGGTGGCTCAGTCCCATTGGCAGTCAGTCGGGGTCGAACTCTCCACTTATGTCTCCTCCTTCAGAGAGGGACAGGGGCTTTCTGGCAGAGGAGGGTGCGGACCCATCCCGCAGCTAGGAGAGCCTAGGAAATCGACGCGGTCGCCCCCTTTTCCCCTAGTGAGCACCATTTAATTGCCCGGCTGCGGGACCGTTGGCTGCAGTGCAAGCGGAGATAGCCCGGGAGGACCGGGGTATGGTGGGGGAAGCAAGTAGGGACTACTCCTAAATCCCACGTTTTTATGTTGTACCCCTCAACCCTCTCCTCTCCTCGGAGGACTTTTAAGGCTCAAGGTCCCTTGTGCATGGCTCCCAGTTCCTCGTGGGAGCCGGGCCTGGGCCGGAGGAGTAGACTTCAGCACCCCGAGCTTTCTTAGGAGACCAAGCAATTGGCTTGCTCGCCCACCCCCGCGGCGTTGCCCACTTGGCAAGGTGCCCAGGTCCGGGGTGGGGCGACGGTACCGCCCGCAGGTCAAACTGACGCTGTGTGTGTGTGTGTGTCTCTCGGTTGCGGCCCCACCCTCCGCAGTAGGCCTAAACTGCCTACTCCAGGAACCCCCCGAGGACAGCCGTAGCGATGGCGGGAGCAGCAGCAGCAGCGGCGGCATTAGCAGCAGCAGCAGCGCCGGGGAGCAGGGAGGCACCGAGAGCAACTCATCCCCGCGCGCCCCCGAGCGGGAAGCCAGCGAACCTGGCGACACCGAAGGCCCTGGTGGACACCTGGCGGCGAAACAGCGCCCTGTCGTCAGGTCGAAAATCAAGGTACAGTGTCGACTCTGCCCCCGCCGCCGCCTGCACCACGCCCTGGCGACGGACTCCCGGGCCCGCACCCCTCCTGGCCTCACACTCTGGTGACCCGGCCCGATCACGGCCGCCGCGCCGCGCCTGCACCTGCCCCTGGGTCGCGGCCAGGGCGCCTCCGCTTGTCTTCCGCCGGCTTGGCGGTCTTCCATATGGTTGTGACCCGGCGACCGTTCCTTGGTGGGGAGTGTGGTCTCTGAAACTGCTTAAAAGGCTCTGGTAGCTCTGTCAACAAGCCAGTCTTGAGAATAAGCCTGCCGTCTAGGTGCCCGTGATTGGTGATTCGAAAGAAGGGACCCCAGCAGTTCTGCCCACACCATGTATATTCTGAATTTCACACTCTTCCCGTTGCCCTGGGGGGAAAAAATGGCAGCAGCTTGGCACACAGTGGGTCTCTCACAGTTAGCTACTGTTCCTGGTGCTATTCACGGAGTGCTGATTAGACAGGCGGCCTACACCTGGCGCTTTAGATCTGTCATGTCTCTCAAATCCTAAATCAAATTTGATGGATAAGAGTTCAAATGCAAATTGCCTTAGCGCTGCCTCCTTACATTCCAGTGGGTTGGGGTATGTATTCCCCTTTATTGTCTTGCCTCTGGGCCTTCTGAGTCCTCTAGACTTGTAGGCTACACTTTATCAGAACATCTATCTGCGTTTTCCTGGGTAGAATTAACGTGATCGCCTCTTCAAACGCATCCTGTATCCCCAAGTGTAAGGAACTGATTTACACTTCCACGGACTCACAGCCACCTGGAGCTGGGGTGGATGTTTTAAGAATCATTGGACCCCATTTCTTAGCCTGGTGGGCTTTAGCACCACCCAGTGCTCACTCCCGACCCTCATTGATTGATAACTTCAGCTCCCTCCAGAGCTGCCGGGCTTCCTCAGCAGAGGGCAGAAGGGGGATGGGAGGGGAGGAAGAGAGTTTGCTCTGGGTTGGAAAGCCTTCCATACTTTTTCTGGTGCGTATTCCTTGTTCCTGGGACTAGGGCACATTTAGTTTTGAATGTAGACTAGAGACGATCTGGAATACAAAAGAAAAACGTCTTTTAGAGATGCTTCTGACTGGGTTTTAGCTTTGTGAATGGCACAGTTCGGGTTCACAAATCAGCTTGCCTGAGATGCTTCTAGGCCAGGCGGGTTTAAGTGGGAAGGGACTTTTTGCTTGAGGCTGCAGGTAGCTCTGTCCATGAAATCCCACTAAGTGTCCCACTTGCATATTTATCACCAGGCTGAAAAGACAATTGCCACGTTGTTTGACGTTTGACTATCCAGTTTGGTCCTCTTACCTTCAATTTCCCAGATTCATCTAGAAAGTTTCAGAGGAGGAAGATCCAGTTTCTTAACCAATATTTTGGGAAGCTCTCATTCATGAGTTCGAATTGACTCCACGGCACTTAACAACAACAATAACATTCCAATCTCAGGCACACTTCGCCATTGAAACCCTGGATTTAAGGAAATAATAAACTAGTTTTATTTACCAGTTGATTCTGGCTTGGCTACCCCCAAAGAGTCTTGGTGGCACTGTGGCCTAGACGCTGGACTGCTAAGTGCAAGGTTAGGTAGTTCAAACCCACTAGTGCTCTGCTGGAGAAAGATGAGGCTGTTGTTCCCCCATAGGGTCACTGTGAGTTTGGGTTTTGTTTTGTTCTTTAATTCAATTGCTACCCCTGGAATGGGGATTGAGGTCCAGAGTGTGTTCCTAACCTTTCTGGAGAGCCTTCTCTCCATGGTTCCTGATGAGGGTTTTTTTGTTTGTTTGTTTGTTTTTTAAGTTTTTATTGTGAATTGGGTGAAAGTTTACAGACAAGATCATCAGCTTTACATTCAGCAAATTTTACACATTGTGTCATTTCAATTATTACAATCCCTTCCCTGCAACATTTATCGTACTTTTTCCCTGTGGTTCCCCATTTACATCATATATTTCACAAATAAATAAGGCAAAAATATTTGATGTACATTTACAAAACAAAAAATATATATATATATTCATTTAAATGTCCAATGTGCCCCTTCTGTCAGCCAGCTTCCTGCCCGCAGGCATAGAGCCCATCTTAGTCCATGGTCTTAGAGCCTGCAGCTTCTGTCTTTCCCTGCCATCACTTCTGCCACTGTCTCTGCTGTCTTTGCTTTTTAGGGAGTGATGTCATGCTCCACTCATGCTCTTCCTTCTTGATGGTCCTGGGATCGTCTATTCCTGAAATGAAAGATTAACTATTCCCTCCTTTTAGTTATACAGCTTCTACAATTATAATCACAATTAATCCTGCCAACAGTTATTCACAATTGAGTCATAAAATCCTGTATTACCATTATTCCGCATCTTCTTTCACCAGATCCATCTGTAAAAGAGGGAAACTATTCAGTGGGGATTCTACCTTGCTCCCCTCGTTCTGAAATTAAGTGTACTGATGAAAGCCAGTCACTTCATACCTATGTAACACCCCATCCCCCATTTCTGATAGCCAATGTCAACATTTCTCATCCCTACGAACCCAATATACTGAGGAAACAAGGTTGTTGCTTGATATGAAGAATCTTTCCATTCCAGTTGGAATTTTGAGTCTGCATTTATAGGCAAAAGTCTAATTCCTCAACTTGTAGCAGTTGACATTTGTTCTTAGTATCAAACATTTTTATCATCCTAGGTTTGAGTTCTGGTCAACTATCCACCCAAGCTACATCAAATGGGTACTAGCTGCAAGTCTGGGAGTTCACAAACACCTCCCTGCACTTCAGTCCAGCTGGCTGCTTCACTTTCCACCATAGCCCCCAGGGTTAGATCAGTGCCTGTGGGCTCAGGAATTCTCACATCTTCCTAAACTTCAGAGCAGACAGCCTTTCCTCTTTTCTCTCTTATCTCCAGGTGAACTAGTGTCAATGGAATATAGGCAAATTCAGCCCATGTCTTCATTGCTACACGTGTCCATTTCCACTCACAAGTAGACACAGATGATCACTAGCAAGCATACTATACTGCTCATGGATTTCCTTTGTGTTTCAGCCCTAGAAGGACGTTTTCCCTGAAGGGCTGACTTATTCCTGCCTTGATGTCTCCAAAGCAAACAGCTTGCTGGATATTCAAACCACCTAACAGTCTGCTTTTTCTCTGTAGCTCTTTCTCTCTATAAGAATCTTTTGTTCTCCAAGCAATTCTGGGTTAGTCTGCATGTCTTTTCTAGTGGGACTGTCCCACCTCAGAAGGTTCTGGGTGGGGCTTAGGATCCCACCTAAGGCCCCAAATGACACAAAGGCTTAACAAGAAGTCTATTTGCCCCGGCAAATTCTATTTCCCCTTTTAGCACGTTCAGTCAGTTTTAGGCTGAAGGTGGACTTAACAAGTTTTCTGTCATCATGGTTACCGGTACTACTTTCTATCACACATCAATGTCTATTTTATAATAGTAGGCAGGGAAACCAATATCCACAAGACAAACACATAAACATTCTACCTCTCCTTTACTCATTCAGTCTATGATTTGATCCATGTAGATACTCACAGAACACTGTTGTTTCAAGGTTGTGTATAAATCACTATTTACCTCTATCCCACCTAGTTCATACATACCTCCCTAAGTCTTTCCCTATCATTTGCCACCCTCCCTCTTCTTGTGTATTTCCCTCCTCCTCCTTGTATATTACCCTCTCTATCACCTTTTCCCAGGGAGCTCTGGTAGCGTAGTGGTTACGAATCGGGCTGCGAACCTTAAGGTCAGTGGTTCGAAACTACCAGCCGCTCCGCGGGAGAAAGATGAGGCTTTCTACTCCCGTAAGGATTTACACCCTCGGAAACCCTGTACAGGGTCGCTATGGGTCGGAACCGACTCGACGGCACTTAACAACAACAACAACATCACCTCTTCCCACCACTAATAACCATTAAAGAATGTTTCTTTTAGTGTAGACACTTTTTCATAAGCTTTTACAATAATGGTCTCATACAATATTTGTTCTTTTGTGATTGACTAATTTCACTCAGCATAATGTCCTCAAGGTTCATACATTTTATGAGGTGTTTTGCAGATTAATCATTAGTCTTCAAGGTTACATAGTATTCCACTGTGTGTATATACCAAAGTTTGTTTCTTCTTCTATTGATGGGCACTTAGGTTGTCTCCATCTTTTTGCTATTGTGAATTGTACTGTGATAAACATTAGTGTGCATATATCTACTCACGTCCTGGCTTGTATTTCTTGTGGATATATAACAAGTAGAGAGATTGTTGGGTCATAAGGTATTTCTATTTCCAACTTTCTGAGGAAACACCATACAGTTCCCCAGAGTGGTTGAACCATTTTAGTCCTACCAGCAATGTAGGAGGATCACAGTCTCGCCACACCCTAACCAACATTTGTTGTTTTCATTTTTTTTAACTTCACTGTTAATGCTGGTGTGAGATGATGTCTCATTGTTGTTTTGATTTGCAGCTTTCTAATGGCTAGTGTCCTGGTGGGTCTGTGGGGTAATGTGCCGGACTGCAAAATTATTTGACCCATCAGGTCAGCAGTTCAAGCTCACCAGCTGCTCCTTGGAGTAGCTATGAGTTAGAACTGACTCAACAGCACTTAACAACAACAATAACATTTCAATCTCAGGCACACTTTGCCATTGAAACCCTGGATTTAAGGAAATAATAAATTAGTTTAGGAGGCTGGAGGTATGAATCCAGAGCACTGGCTCTGGAGAAAGCACCTTGTCTCCTTTGTGCATCAGCAGACCCATCATTCTGTAGAGTTCTCAATGTTTCTTGGCATCAATATTACTCTGGATCTAGGAGCTTCACAGGGACCCCAACTCAAAAGGACATACTTTACTTCCCACTCTTCTATCTTGGTAATAGTAGGTCCCTGTCTCTCTGCCAAGTCTCTCTCATTGTATCCCACCCTTACTCCTCTTATTGTTTTATCACATCAAATCATATCAAGGGGATTACTACATCTCGACTGCCAAGCCA